GCTCTGTGTAGAGAAGCTTGGTCGGAAGGGACGAGAGTGGTGGCACTGCCCTCGCACACCCTGCCGGCCTGGCTCCTGCCCCAACTTACGCCCTCTTGATCTCAGCATCCTCTGAATTACGAGTGATCTGGAGCACAGAGTAATAATCCTGGCCCATGGCTGGCTGGCAGTGAGTTGTTAGTCCTCAGACTCCAGCAGAGCTGTTAGTCTGCATTCCTCGGTTGCTCCTGACAACTGCACAGGGGCACTCTGGGAGTTGTAGTCCTTCCTTCCCAAGCAAACTCCCTCCTGGATCTTAGACTAGGGACAAAGGGACTGGGAAAATTGTAGCCCTGATAAGGGTCATTCAGCTCAGAAACCAGGACCACAGGCCCTGTTTTATTTTATTTTTAAGGAGAAAGAAATTACTTTTAGTTAAAAGTGTTCAGGACAAGTACCACTTTTAGTTGATTTTTTTAAACTTATTTTTTATTTTAGAAATTTTACGTTTTCAGAAAAGTTATGAAGATAGTAGACACAATTCCCATATATCCCCCATACCACATACCATTTCCCCCATTAACATCTTATATTAATGAAGTAATTTGTCACAAATAACCAATGTTGATATATTACTATTAACAATAAATATATCACATTACTAGGGATTGAAACTAGGTTCTTTGCACTAAGATGTATCTCTAGCTCTTCAAATTAAAAAAAAAAATCTTTTTTAGACAGGGTCTTGCTATACAGTTCAGACTAGCTTTGAACTTGCTATGTGGCAGACTACCCTCAAACTCATGGGGATCCTCCTGCCTCAGCCTCCCAAGTACTGGGATCACAGGTCTGTGCCACACCTGGCTGTGAAGCACCGTAGGAGCAGCCGAGGTTGGAAATTGGTTATGTGTTTGGAGGCCAGGCCAGGCCAGTGCGCCTAAAGGAATCAAGCTACTTGCCTGAGACAATTCCAGTCACTAGTCACTAGGTAACCCTGTGGCTGACTTCGTCTAATGTATAAACAAATGTGCCTCCACCCCTACAGTGGTTGTACAGTTCCCCCTCCCATCAGGGGAGAGGGCTCTCCCGGACCCCAGCACCCCCACATCGAGAGCCACACTGGTTTGTGGCAAAATACAATTTCTACTAGAGTGCATCAAAGATACACACTATCCACATAGCTTCTTAGTGATGATGTGAATGAACCCGGATCTTTGGCTGAGTAGTCTATGTCAGGCTTCTCCACTATACAGTTGAAGGAAATCACTGCATGGCCCACCCCTAAAGCTGTAGTTAGGCTCCACTGCCCATAGTAACAGAGCCTAGATTGCCACCATATGCCACAGCCACTCAGTCACTGAGCTCAGTTCCTTTTACTGCCCAGATCCCTCCATGCCTTCCCCTGCTCTTTTCATGGCCATGGCTTCATTCAGCTTCATCACTCTCTAAGGCCACTACAACTTCCTCGCTGTCTTCCTGCCTTATCTCTCCCTTGCCAAGATCATACTCAGCCCAGAGTGAGGCCCAGACTGCTTCCTGAGGCACACAGGCCCCTGGGATCTGAGTCACAAAGCACCATAGCACTTCCCACCACACAAATGAGCCACTCTCCACTGCTACTGAGAAGGCTCCCACCATGCATCACAAACCTGGCTTCCATTCAGCTGACTTTTTTTCTTCCTATGAAAACAGTTTATATGCACAACTGAGCAGTATTGGAACATGCCTTGTTGAATAAACACTGCCCCTATGTGGCCCTTCCTGTTTTTCTTATTCCCTGGCCTTTCTTTATAGTTTTACAAGCTATACATGCACACAATGGTGTGCTGGTAAATGTTTCAAAACCGGCTCCAACTGGCTCACCAGAAAGAAATAAAAGTCTGTAGTGAAGCACTTGCCAATTTTTTTCTAAATGAGTACAAGTCAGCTCAAACACATTACTACAAGGGTTTCCAACAATGTATGTACCTTTTCCTATGTTGAATTTTACATAATGATATCACTTCTACAAACAGGTAACTGTGTGCACTGCTTTCCACAGAGGGTACATTGCTTACTTGTTTGCATTTGGATGTCCACCCATCTAGACTATTTAACAGTCCATTGTTCTCTCACCAATCAATATTAGCTACTGTGTTGTACTGTAGGTTTCCATCTAGGTACAGTGTGTTTCGACTGCTGCTCCTTAGACTTCTCCGGGGGCCCCCCAACACTTTTTTGCATAGGCCACATAGCCATGTCCTTTTCTTCTCCTCCTCTTCCTTCCACTCCTCCTCCCCTCAAATGGAAAATGTTCTTAAGAAAGGATCTAGTAGTAGGTTTTTTTTTTTTTTTAAACCAGGGATTGAACTCAGGCCCTGGCACTTGGCAGGGAAGCACTTATTCTTTTTTTTTTTCCATAATTTTATTGATAAACAAATAGCAATGAGACAGTTTCAAATCAAATCGGTAGGAGAAGCACTTATTCTACTGAGCCATCTCCCCAGCCCTCTAGCAGTAGTTAACAATGAGAAAAAGTGCTGCATTTTAAATTTCTAACTGGAGATGTAGGGATCTGTTGGTTTCAGTGTGATTCATTGTACCTGGGGAGAAATGACAGCAGGAATAAGGAAAAGACAGACAAGATGACAAAAGCTGGGGTAGGTGGTGCTCATCTACCTGGTTGGCAAGATGGCACCCCCACCCCAGCAACAATATGAATGTTCATTTATACCTTTGCAAAGTTAGGAACACATAAGGATGCCTAGAATGTTTATCTTGGGACCCTGGTAGATTGTCTCCTTTAGGCATGGAGGCCTAGTCTCGCTTACACACATTTGACCAATTTCCAGCTTCCGTGGCTCCCAACATATCCCCTTGCTTTGTTTTGCTGTATCAGAGGTGGGTGTTCCATTACAGTTAGAAAAACTGTGTTTAGAGAACTCTTTAGAAGACCTTTTCACACTTGATGCCAGCACAAAGATTTCAGTTACTTGAATTTAACAACGTAACCTTATATAGTCCAAAAGTCCACAATCGTAAAGAGTTATCATTACAGCTGGTAACTGTCAGAAGTTGGTAGTGACTTGAGCCTTTTACAGCTTAGCATATTATTATGGCATTACTCTTCACATCTCATGGTTACACTTTTCTGCTGGATGGTTAAGACCAAGTTGAAGTAAGACCTGTATAAATACAAATTTAACTTTGCTATCTAACAAGATCAATTAAATCTCATCAGAATTTACCTTAGAACTGTGTATAGTACCTCTTAGTTCTTCTGTCAGTGTCAGCCATCTGGATGAGTCATCTCCATTGCTTGACTTATGAAAGCCTGAGAGATTTTTTTTCTTTCTCTAGGTGACTCTCTTTAGACACAGATCATTGATCACTTTCCTCTGTGTCCCCATTATCTCCTTGATCAGAAAACTAGAGACTCAACTGAGTTATAGGATGTCACTGTAGAGGTTCTCCTCACTGTAGAGGTTCTCTTATATTCTGACCTACAAGGGCTAGGACCAAAATATTGGCTACCCTTTTAGCTCATCTATCTCCCTAATTTTTGGTCTCCAAATTTTAGTCATTAAACATCCAGAAGAGAACCTTTATGACATTACCCTGTAACAGAAGCAGCATAATGCTTCATATTACTGCCTATCTGAATATAAAACACCTTAGACAAAAAATTGAATTACTTTCCAACAACCATGGATTTTTTTTTTAAATTTTAGGGAAGGGTTTATAGTGTGTTCAGAAGTAAAATAATATTTAAAAAAGATTGTAGTTCGATCCCTGCTCCCACCAAAAAATAAAAATAAAATAAAATAATAATTAAAAAAAAAGATCGGAGTTTGATCCCTGCTCCCACCAAAAAATAAAAATATAAAGTGTTCAGGGTCTCACTGCTAGACTGGACTCATAGTGATCTGCCTGTTTACAGCCTCCCAAGAGCTAGGATTACAGGCACACGCCACCATGCCCAGTCTCTACCCCTGTCTCAGTGCGCCCTGGGGCTGGGGCTGGCACAGCAAGCCCGGGGATCGAACCCCTGGCCCCTGTGCTTACTTGCAGGCACTTTAATCTGCTATTTGGCTAGCCCTAAACATGGATATTCTAATATTCAAATCCCTATAGATTTGTCTTTTAGGTGAAGGATTTATTGGCTATCACAAGGGTAAAATTACATTTCTCCCAAAAACGGATGCTCAAATTGAGCCAAGGGGAAGATATGGCACTGCTCATTTATGTTGAACCAAGAGGCAAGCATCGCACTGTTCACTTAGAAGCTCCCTCAAACTGCCCCAGTGCATCAAGATTCCTGACAGCAAAGGTACCTGACTGCTCTGGGGTCCTGACCAACACATGGCTGGAGGTGCTGATGGGCGCAGTTCCCACACTGCCCTCGATGGCTGCCCCTCCTCAACTGACAAGGCCCGAGTAGTGGCCCAAATGGGAAGGACTAGTAGCTGGAGTCCTTGACCTCTTAGCACTCTCTCTGAGGCTGGACCTCCTGGCACCTGTGGTGGCACAAGGGTCCACAATCACAGGGTGGGAGAGAGGTAGCCTTCATTTACAGCTGAGTGCCACAGCTGTGTGCCTCCAGAGTCGGCAACTCACCGGTGTTCATGCCCAATCTTCTCCATTGCCCTCTGCCTACTGCCAGCAAAGCCAGCTTGCAACCCCTGACTGTGCTGTTCAGATGGCTCCTACAGAACATACTCCTTTTTCTGATTTCTACTTGATTTAAGTGGCAGCTGGGCCTTCAGCACCTTGTCACAGCTGACAATGTTTTCTGAAGCTGTAGAGACGGTTTCATGCTCAAGATATTCCCCTGGATGGAAAAATCTTTCAAACAGACTTAAGGCCACTTGTGCCTCTCCACGCAGGCCACAAATGCTAAGTAATTGCAAGGGCAAAGTTCCTCACCCAAGGACAGAGAAAAGGAGCCTCAGAAACCAGGCCTGGCTGCCTTGGCCACCCCAGCATGCCTTAGCACCGGGCAAACTGGCCCCAAACATTACTTTCCTGGTGTGGAACTGGCAGCAGGTCAGGCAGGACCTTCACCCTCAGGCATCTGGGAACCACTCAGGAGTCAGTGTGGGATTCTCCTGTGGTTGTGGAGTCCAGATGGCAACCAGAAGAGGCTGCAGTGCCTTCATGCTGTGAAACCACTTAACACGGCTCGAACCAAGCCGCACAACTTGGTGAAAGTCTAGAAATCCTGGCTGTCCTTGAGAACTGC